ATCCCCTGGGACTGGAGTTACAGACAGTTGTTAGCTGCCATGTGGGTGCTGGGATTTGAACTTGTTCTTCTGCAAGAACAACCAGTGTTCTTAACCATTGAGCCATCTCTCCAGCCCCCTGGGCCACGGTTTTTATACATCTGTATAACTTGGTGGCTGAATGTGCAAAATCCCTTTCCTGGACAGATGTTTCCTGTCAGGAAGCCCCTTCTGTAGCATTCTCAGTTCATGCTTTCTCCTTTCAAATACATTTCATGTTCACAAGTTGGAGCTGATGATGCTGAGGGCTTCATGGCATCGTTCTCACTGTCCCTATGAAGACAGTGAGGTTTCTCCTTAACAATTATGGATGCTTTGTCTTCTGTACCCTCCTGGTCTGCATTTTTAAACTTATTCATGCAACTTTCTCCACAGAATTTTGTATTTTTTAAAATCTTTTTGCTCTCACTCATGGTAGCTGTAAATAAGGGCACTGAGAGGAAGTCATACTAAAGTCTGAATGCTATGCTGTCTTGAAATTTCTCCAACACAGAAATTAGGGCCAGGTATGGTGGTACATCCCTTAATCCCAGCACTATGAAGACAGAAGCAGGGGAATCTTTGTGAGATTAAGGCCAGCCTGGCTTATACATAATGAGTTTCAGGCCAGCTAGGGCTATAGGGAGACCCTGTCTCAGAAAAATCAAAAGACAGACAAATCATCCAATAGATATAAAATACATATTCTTGAGCTGGAGAGCTGGCTTGGGGATTAAGAGCACTTACTGTTCTTCAGAGGACCTAGGTTTGGTTCCCAGTACCCACATGGTGACTAACACCTATTTGTAACTCCATTTCCGAGGAATCCATCTCTCTCTTCTGGCCTCTGTGGCCACAAGGCATGTGCATGGTGCACTTACATACATGTAAGAAAAACATTAATACACACAAATTAAAAATGAAACCTTAAAAATCAAGGCTATCCTGGTCTACATACTGAGTTCTAGGCCAGAGAGCAGTAAGAGCAATGGAGGACAATGACACAGGGAAAGAGGAAAGGGAGTGTGGAGGGCTGAGGAGTCTGTGACTTTAAATAGTGTGACTGTGGAAGGCCTTTATGAGAAGGTGACAACTAAGTTCTACATAAGTGAGTTCTACATAGTGAGACCCTGTCTCAAAAAACTGAAAAAAAGAGCCTGAGGTCTACTTCCGTTTTGCCTCTTTCCAGGCATCTAAGATGTCAAACCAAGGATATGGTGGGTCCTCCCATATGAAATTCCAGATTTTCCTCTGATAGGAGTGTTGGGATAAGTCAAGGGTGCTTGGAATGTAAAGCATGGCTGCCAGGCAGGATACCTCCTAGTGAGGATGGCAGGAAGCTGGTCCACTCCATTCTAGATATACTGTCTCTTACCCAATAATCCCCAAGCAAAGCTATTAAGTCCCTAATCCTTTAATCCTAACCGGGTCCCTTGTAGATCATGTGACTGGAGGACAGGCCAAAGGCCACCTATGTAGCCTTAGGAGTCCCCTCCCTCCCCCCACCTGCCAGCCCACCAAAAACCCAACCCCACCTCTTTGCCCGCGAAACTTTCCTATATAAACCTCTGCTTCCACCATAATAAATGAGCTGTCCACTGACACAGTCTCCCTGGGTATTTTCTTCCTGTCATACTCACCACCAACTGCTGCCTGAGGCCTCCCTCCCCCCACTGGTCTCTCTCCTCTCCCTGACCTTCTGCTATGGGAACCGGTGCACAAAGGTCTCCCTGTGGCAGCGGGGTTTGGGCCGAGGGGGGTGGCTGGCATAGGAGCAGTGGTCAACTGCACTAACAACAGAGGAGCCAAAAATTTGTCTATTATCTCTGTCAAGGGAATCAAGGGACAGCTGAACAGACTTCCTGCTGCTGGTGTGGGTGACATGGTGATGGCCACAGAGGTAAAAGGCAAACCAGAAGCTGGGCTTGGTGGCACACACCTTTAATCCCAGCACTGGGGAGGCAGAGGTAGGCAGATTGCTGAGGGTTCAAGGCCAGCCTGGTCTTCATAATGAGATAGTGAATTCCAAGCCAGCTGGGGCTACAGGGATAACCTGTCTCAAAAAGAAAGGCAAACCAGAGCTAAGAAAGATGATCTATCCAGCAGTGGTAATTAACAACTAAAGTCATACTGAAGAAAAGATGGGGTGTTTCTTTATTTTGAAAATAATGTGGGGGTCATGATAAATAATAAAGCTGAAATGAAAGGTTCTGACATCACAGGTCCAGTTGCAAAGGAGTGTGCAGACTTGTGGTCCAGAATTGCATCCAATGCAGGCAGCATTGCATGATTCTCTGGTGTATTTGTTAACTATGATGCACATTAAAAGTCTTTGCTCTGAATTAAGAAAAAAACCTTGTTCCTCAAGGAAGTTTCTCCAGTCTCTCTACAGCTGTACTTTTAGAAGGAGATACCACAGTCTGAGTTATTCCCTGGGATCTTCCTGTAGAAGCTTGGAAAAAGAGTGCAGCGGTCTGGTCTGAGGGAGCCAGTTCCTACCAACCACCACCTTCCATTGGTCTCTGCCTATCTGGGGTGCTGCTGTAACAAGGGGATCTTGAAATAAGACCCCAACAGAAGCATCTCTAGATAAGAACAGCCTAGGAGACAGAAGTTGCTGGGGTGAGACAAGGTCCCTGGGATCTAGGGTGCAGGAGAATGATTCCTAAGGCTACCCCCAGCCTAGGTTAATGACAACCTGTGACTCTGAGTCAGAACAAGGCTACTTTAGTAGAAGTTCTGCAGCCTGACCTCTTACCAGAGACAGGCCAATGGTGTGACAGTATGCATAGCCAAGAACACAGGTAGATGTTCCAAGATGACTCTTGGGAGCTCAAGAGTCAGGAGGGTCTTGGGAGAGTCATCCATGACACCATGGTCAGGGAAGCTTTTAGGGACATGGATTCCAGCTTCCTTATTATGCAGGTGGAGACACTGAGGTACAGCAGGGAAGAAATCTGCTCACTGTCTCACAGCAAATGAGTCCTAGAGCTGCTGCCTCCCACACTTCTGAAATGAGGTAATAAGCCCCATAGGTCTTCCCTGTTTTAACACTAAAACTAGAACACTGAACACACAAGGGGGAATCCTGTTGTGCCTGGTTGCTTGGGGGGTGTGGGGCATGTGTTTTCAGCCCTTGCAGTGTGACCTGGGTGTCCCTGGAAAGCCAAGTTGGCTCCCTCAGTGGTGTGGATGGGGCTCAGGTTTGTGCCAGTTACATACAGCCCACCTCCAAATGGACAAGGGTGTTCCCCAAACCCTCTGGGCACAGCATCTTTGCCTGTGATTTTCCTCTGATAATATCTTGTTTTGCCAACTAAATTAAGACTATGACAGAGAACAGAGACTACCTCTAGCAGTTTAGTTCAATTAAGATTTCACATCAACAAATTAAAATGCATCCTCACCGTCTGCAAAGTAAATCTGCCAGCGTTTAAAAGGAGGCTCTGACATTTGCTATTCAGGCACCTAGAGGATACGAGTTGAGTGTCAAACAGGACCCAACCCTATGGGGAACTATTTGAGGGGTTCAGAGCCAGGATTTGTCTCCATAGGCTTGGGGCTAGGGATTCTCAAGCATGAATGTGAGCCTTTGACAATCTTCTGGGTGTTGATAAAATAACAGAAATTAATGATGTCACATTTTCCATAAGACTAAGTTAATTCAAACTAAAGAACTATCAACAAATACTTTCAAGTGTTTAATGTGTCAATCATTCTTCAAGAGACTAAGAGTACAGCAATGAACAAAACAGGAACACTCCCTGCTCCCCCAGAGCTGTGACTTTATGGGGGAGAGACAGACAATAAACAAGACAAATGAGTAGCATATGCAGTAAGTTAGAGAGCAATAAGAGCAATGGGGGACAACAACGCCAGGAAAGAGAAAGTAGAGGGCTGAGGAGTCTGTGACTTTAAATATGGTAGCTGGGGAAGGCCTTGATGAGGAGGTGACAAATAAGAACTGAAAAGGTAAGGGAGTGAGCTGTGATGATGTGGGAGTGTGGGGCCAGTGCTCTGGGCAGAGGGATGCTGAGACTGAAGGCCAGAGTGGGACTATGAGGGTATGTGGCTAGAGCTGAATGAGCTTGAGGGAGAGATGAGTGCAAGGGAGAGGAAAGAGACAGGAGGGCAGAAGACTGTTCTTTCTCTGAGTAAGAAGCTAGTACAGGGTTTTTTGTTGTTGTTTTGTTTTGTTTTTGAGACAGGGTCTCACTATGTAGCCCTGACTGGCCTAGAACTCACTGTGTAGACCAAGCTGATCTCAAACTCATAGAGATCCACCTTCCTCTGCCTCCTGAGTGCTGGGATTAAAGTTGTACATTATGACCCCTGGCTACAGTGCACAGTTTGTAGCAAAGAACAGACAAGTTCTGATTTCTCTTTTAATAGGGTGCTGTGTGGGGAAAAGAAAGAAGGAAGGTATATTAGTTACTTTTCTCTTGCTGTGACCAAATACATGACAAAAGGAAGGAAAGGTATATTTTGGCTCATGGTTTCAGGGAACACAGTCCATCATGGCAAGGGAAAGCATGGGGACAGGAACATGAGACTGGCTGGTTGCATTGCATCTGCATTCGGGAAGCAGCGACTGATGAATGCTCAGCTGACTTTCTCCTTTTTATCCATTTATTCAGCCTAAGATACCATAGGATAATGACCCACCCACATATTCAGGGTGGGTCTTCCTTCCTCATTTAGCCTCTCTGGAACCACCCTCACAAACATCCCCAGAAGCGTACAAAATAAATGAGTGAATAAATAAAAGTTTGAAATCAATAATACC